AAATACAGCTTATGCACAATGCTATCTGATTTTATATAAACATTGCGTATGTTGTATATATTCTGAAACCAATGCTAATTGCAAAAGACGACACTTACGCAAGCAAAAAAAGTATTTAAATATTGCAAATAATAAAATTAAATCCTGTTCGCAGCGCCAAAATTATATTGGATTCCCACGTTGGTTAATAGATGCACTTTCAGATTTAATAATTTTATTAAATAACTTTGAAGAATGAAAACATACACTTGAAGAATAATACGGAATTAAACTAGCAGCAACTTGCGTGTCTTTATGTCTTTTTGTTGTATCCCGTTTCGGTTATAACTTAAACTCTTATACTAATTTTGAAACAGATAAAAAAACAAGGTAATAAATTCTAATAAAAATAACTAAAGAATATTAAAACTTATCAAATATCGGCGGAACTAAAGAGGCGGCATTTTAATTGATTATTAATTTTTAGCTGATAGGAATATCTTAATTGGTTTATTTATTGCAAAATACAATACAATCCAATGCAACGGCTTTGACAATAAATCGGATAGTAAATGTTTTCTTAATGTTGACAAGTTAAGTCGACAATTGAAAAGTTTGGGCAACTCGAAAACGTCTATTATCCACACTAAAAATTGTCTAACGAGGAACTCGATTGTGAAAAACATTTCCGTGAAAACACGCGAGTCAATTCGAATGGACAATACGAGGAAAAATTACCACTGAAAGATTCTTATGTCGAATTAGGTCAATCACTTCCGACAGCGATTAAACGTTTAGATTTCCTTGAAAGCGGCTAGCCAGGGCCCCCGACACAAAGGCTCAGTATATTTCCTTTTTACAGGAGTATGAAAAAATGGGTCACATGACTCGCTTAAATGAAAGGGAAATAAATGAACCTGCCTTGTCATATTATATTAGATAGATTAGATTAGGCGTAAGTTTAAATGAAGTAATGAAATTAGGAGCGCAAGAGCAGAGTGATTTATTTGATATTATTGTCCGAATGCGTACTGACAAGGTAGGTCTTACGGCCGACATCAAGAAAATGTATTGGATGGTTTTAGTAAACAAAATTCATAGGCCCTTGCAAAGAATTATTTGGCGCGAGGAATCCCTCGCACGAAATAGCTCATTTTAATTTAAACACGGTTACATATGCACTAAAAAATTCAAGTTTTTTTAGCAATGCGTACACTTAATGAAATCGGGAGAAATTCAACTGATCCAGAAATCCGTAAAATCGTAATAGAAGATTTTTATATTGAGAATCTAATTTCGGGCCCAGAAAATGTTTCTGAAGCGATAAAACTTAAGCAAAATATTTTGGCTACCTTGTTAAAATCAGGTCTTAATTTACGTACGCGGATATCGAATGATCTAAGTGCACTAGAAAATGATAATTTGCACTCAAATTCACAATTTTGCATAAGGAGCAGCGAGGAGACCAAGACTCTAGGGATAATTTGGCATCCGATTAGTGATACGCTTTGTTGTGCTTTTAATTTATCTATTAAAGCCGATATTATTACAAAGCGAAGTATACTTTCCGGTGTTGCACAATTATTCGACCCTTTAGGCCTCATTAACCCATGTGTGGTCATGACAAAATTAATTCTACAACAACTTTTTCAAATCCAAGCAGATTGGGAATCCGAAGTACCGCGCGACATAAAAGAAAATTGGTCACATTTTTTGGAAAACTTGCCCTCGTTGAATGAAATAAAAATACTACACTAAAATTACTTCGTCTGAAAATGTCTACGGGAAAAGAAAATCAAATTTAATTTGTGCAAAATCGAAACTTGCACTATTAAAAACGCAAACATTGCCTAGGCTAAAATTATCACTCAATTATTACTCTTAGCCCAGGTGATGTACAAAGTAGTACCAATTTTAAGAGCCCCTATTTTCTTAGTTACCTGTTAGACAGATTCTATAATAACACTTTCATGGATTAATTCGGAACCGAACAGGTGGAAAACATTTGTTTGAAATCGGGTTTCGGAAATACAAATATTAAGTGAAAATTCATCGTGGAAACACATTGAATCGGAAAACAACCCAGCTGATATTATTTCACGTGGTCTAAACCCATAAGAATTAAAGAATTGTCAAAAATGGTTTCAAGGTCCCACCTTTCTTATCGACGAAGAAAGCTCTTGGCCTAAAACGCAAATTGTTAATATGCCCGATTTTATCTTTTACTTTATTAAATAATCTTAGCTTAATAGAACGTTTCTCAACTTATCAAAAATTGATTCCTTTCACCGCATATGTATACCGATTTGGCTACAATTTAAGGCACAAAAATGCAAGGCGATCTAATACAAAATCAAATGTTTAAATTCAAATCAAAACGTTCCAAAAGGCAGCAAGTTGCTGACTTTAAATCCATTTATGGATCGAATTGGTTTACTGCGCATAAGAGTGCGTTTGAAAAATTCTCATCTTGCTTTTAATCATAAGCATCCAATTGTTTTTTCCAGTAAACATCATTTCACTAGGCTTTTAGTTGAACATTATCACAGAAAACATTTACACGCTGGTGTCCAATTTATTCTCGTGCAAATAAGAGAGGATTTCTGGCCGCTGAACGCAAAAAACCAGACCCTCAGCGTTTTGAAAAAATGTAAACCGTGTAAAACCATTTAATATAGCTGGATCTTATTTTACTAAGGCATCCAAAACTTAAAAAAAAATTGATTACTTGACGGTGTTTGTTTGGTTGTCGTCAAAAGAGGTTCACATAGAGATAATTACAGAAATTACTTCTGATGCCTTCATCGACGCGTTAAAACGTTTCGTAGCCCGCAGAGGACTTCCAAGGCACTTTATAGCGATAACGCTAAAAACTTTGTGGGTACGAATAACATTTTTCACAAATTTAACGAAGGTGTTGCTCAAACTGCTAGCAATGAAATTCAAAGTAATTACTTTATGGAAAATCACATTACTTGGCATTTTAAACCCGCGAAATCTCCGCATCACGGTGGAATTTGGGAATCAGTTATAAAGTCATGTAAGAATCATTTACAAAAGGTAATTGGTGAAATAAAATTAAATTACGAACAACTATATACAGTCGTTGTACAAATTGAAGCTATCTTATATTCCAGACCTCTCCTTCCCTTATCCAGTGAACCCACGGACCTACAATCTCTGACGTCAGGACACCTATTAATAGATGGACATTTATTACCCACACCCCAACATGACGTAACCCAAAATTCCAAGCAATCGTTTGAAAATTTTCCATCAGTTGCAGCAATTGGTTCAAATCTTTGGAAGCACGTGAAATGCGAAAACATCAAATTGAGTGCGTTAGTCCTCCTCAAGGACGAAAATCTGTCGCCGTTACAATGGTCAATGGGTCGCGTTATAACAGTTCATCCAGGACTTGGTACGAGTGGTCTCCATACGAACAAGGAATGGGATAGTCAAGCGGTCAATCAGCAAGATATGCCCGTTACCCGTGGACGAGATCAATACTCCTACGCTTTGAAATCCACTGCACATTTCAAGGCCGGCGGGATGGACGATCTTCAAAACTGCCCAGCTACGGCAAAAAGGTCGCCTGCAAAGAAGGGATCGGTGCTGCCGACACTTAAGATAGACCGAGGGACGCTGGGTCTCTGCATTACAAGCCGTGCTAACAAACGTTAAGCTTCATTATTCATTTTCCTATGTTTTTTCCCTTTCTTTTTTTATTTATTTGTAAAAGTTAATTAAGTTGTGAAAGTTAAAATAAAATTATCGAAAAATACAGTCTCACTCAATCGAACAAGAATCAGCGCAGCAAATAACGTGGACCTACGTCAAAACCCACCAAAATAAATATCAATATAATATGCAACAAGTTTTATAAACGCCATTTTATTCACGAGTTTGATTGGTTTGCACGAGTAGGTGATTGCTTAATAAATGAGTGACTGAAGAAGTTTATCAAAATGTTGCGTACTATACATTTTCTACGAACATTAGTTTTTGGGTACATTTTTGCCAAACATAACTGAATAAAGTACATCTGAAATGTTTCGCGACCGTGGATAACGAAACAGACGTCTTAAAATGACACTTTCCACACGCTTGCCCCCGCCATTATTAAATATTTTAGAATAGGGAGTACAAAAAAGTGATTTATTAAATGAATATTTTCTTCTTTATGGAAGCGGCATGCTCGAAATATAGTGGCTCTAGTGCGGTAAACATTGATGCATGAAATTCTGCTGCTCTGAAATTTTCGGATTGCATTTGGCGCCATTTTCTTTTAACAATCCCCCCACACTTAACTCGTTTTCGCAGAATATTTAACGAGATCTTTTGAGAATATCCTCCCTCCCAAACTGAAACCTGTGGAATTGACCAACTGTCAGCGGACAGGTTGTTTGGTGAAGGCCATGTGGTCTTATTGGTTGAAAACAAGACTTCAAATGACCGCGCAAGCACAATTGAAATGGGCCATCTCATTAGTTTTTTCATCGTTATCTTAAAAAATCCTGTATTATCAGTATAGGCAGGGTTGTTAATCATGTTGGCGTCATTGTTTCGCCCCGTTTTTTTGCTCTAATTCACTCTGACTCGGTAAGGTTTGGATCTTAATATTCTGTGAACCACAAGATATCAAAGTCGATAAAAGCTAAAACGCTTGTACCCTATAACCGCAAGAATATTTTGGACTTTATTCTTGTGCTATACCTAGATATAAGATTGATGTATGAATGGTATAATTAGTATAATAATAGTATAACAGGTTCTACAATGGCAGACCAAAATGACTCAAAACTCAAGATTCTAAAAATCAGACATCGAGAATTTTTTACAAAAGTTTTAATTATCGTTAGGTGAGTCCTGAGTACATAAATTAACGTCATGCTTATTGCCCTGCCAAATTCTCTGGTAAAATCCTAACGTACTATCGTAAAGTAGTGAGACAGAGAGCAGAGACAATTTCAGAGAGTAAATAATAAATTGAGGTAATATTCAAGGTCAATTGATTATCCGCCACATTCATAACCTACAATAGTGTTATTGACTTTGGAATATATGTGCTTGCAAAATTTTAGCAAACCCAAAATTTTCTGTAAAAAAAATTGTGCCTGTATTAATATTGTCTAAAAAAAACATAAACACAGTATGGCGAGTACTTTCTGTTATGTATGTATTTAGAGTTACAAGTACTAAAAAAGACTTGTTATTTGAATATAAACAATCGGAACAAAAGTAAAAGGAAAAGGCACTTTATAGATGGAGTAAGTATTAAATAATATATAGTTTTTTGAATGTATATGCTGTGTGTATAAGGAATCTATCGCCAAGAAGTTAGTTTTTATCTTTATCATTTAAGGGTTCATCTCTTAATGGCTAAAGAATATAATTTTCAGTGTGCTAAAATATGAAATGCTGGGTCCATTCTAAAAGCCTTTAAGCTATTGAACCATGAATTTTGCTTAGTTTTGGTTTAGATTAGATGTAGACGAGTTTTTAATTATGTTCCTTTATTTTCAGCAATGCACTCCAGTTTTGCATTGTGATTTTATAACAATCGAGTCATGGGAGTCAATAATAGCAAAAAATTAGCAGCCAAATGTTCATTTTTATCCAAAGATGAACAACTTATTGTTAGTAATTCGTTTAAACTCGCCAGTAGGAATTCAGAGAAAATAAAAGAAGAGGAATTAACAGTAAGTTAGATGGCACTAAATATGAGGAAGCAAATGTATGGAGTCAATACTTCCCGGGAAACTTTTTAACTTTAAATATATTACTATCAATTTCTGCTAATAGAAATACATTTTCTTCTATTTTAATGAAATATATTGTTCAATTTAGTAAATACATTTTAAAAACCAGAAACTGAATATTACTAAGTATACAGGTGTATGAAGATTGTATATAAAATTTTTACAGAAATTATGGGGTTCCCAAATGGATCCACGACTATTGCAATATATTAACAATTATTTATTTGGGATGGGAGAACAGAGACTAAATACTGTGGATTTGGAACGTTTTGCTGAGTTGTTTGTTTTCTGTACAAGAGGTACAGTTGATGAAAAAGTGAAAGTGTTATTAACTTCTCTGGGAAAATCTGATGGAGAATGTGGTGATATACCTTATATTTTGGTTAAGGAGGTATGTATCTATTCGAATAGTTATGATCCCGACGGATGTCGATAAAAAAAAATTTCAGTATGTTGAGAGCATTGTCAGTTCCTACATGAAAATTCAACGCCTTAGTGGTACAAAACAGTATAAAAGTTGGGCCGGCAGAGGTTGTATGGCACATGCACAAAATGCGCAACGACTAGCTGAAAGTTTGACCAGAGATTTAGCGGGAGAAAACGTTATTTCTCGAAAATCTATAGAAATGTGGCTGCAAGGAAGTACAATTTTAGGACAATTACTCCTGTTTGTTTTCATGCATTTATATAATATTTCTCATAAGGTAGGCTTTATTTTCTTGCCTGTTTTTTATAAAATGAAGCGGTGTTCCTCTATGAGTTCATTATTCATATTTCTTTAGAAATTTTGTTATTTGTTAGTATGTGTCTGTCCTTTACATTAATAAACCATATAGTTCCTCATTCGCAACATGTGATGTAAGATATTAGATAGGATGTTCCATTATTTATCTGCCATAGAGCACCATTAGATACTATAAAACAAAATAAGATTTTGTTCAATGCATTTGGTAGTGTTGCAATAAAACTAACAGACTCTGATTGAATCTAGTTGTTACTAAAAGTTTTCTTTCTGCCAAAAGAGGCAGGAGGGCAAGGTGTTGCCGCTCCTATTTCTAGAATTTCGTAGCAATTAAAATCTTGTAAAATAAAAACCCTCTACAAAACAATGCAGGAACATCTATTTGACAATATAAACTGCGTTATTTTTTCACTAAAAAATAGACTGTACTGGGCAAAATCAGACTATTACGTTTACACAAACAACATTTTTTAAAAATGTTTCCAGTACCCAAAATTATTATAGTAGTACATAACTTCACAGAATAACTTTAGAAATGTATTTATCATCTTTGCGTAGGATAAAACGGCAGTTATTAGTGAAAAACAACAACCCGCAGGTGCAGAAACTGAGCTGTCAACTAATGAAAGTGAGAACTCCAGGGAACGTTCGCTCGTTCCGTACTGTCGAGGACTGGATCTTATACCATCCTATCCGAGTATTCTTGATCTCAATCAAATTGTTTTTGTCAATGCAAATTTGCCGCAGCAGTATCAGCTGGAATGGAGATTTTTGTTCAGCTCTGAAATACATGGCGAATCATTTTCTACACTGATAGGTAAATATGTGATACTTTTAATTGTCTTTACTTATTTTTCGGCCTTTCTATTACTTTTTTAGGGCGCATTGTAAACCAAGGTCCATCTGTGTTAGTATTAGAAGATCGTAACGGTTATGTGTTTGGTGGATTCGCGCCAGCAAATTGGGCTTTGGGTCCTAATTTTTTTGGTGACGATAGCAGTTTTCTTTTTACATTAGCGCCTCGAATGCGCATTTACCCATCGACAGGATACAACCAACATTTCCAGTATCTTAATCTACACCAACAAACAATGCCAAATGGCTTGGTAAGAACTAAAAAAAGTTTTCTAAACACTTAACCTTGATTAACATTTTTTAGGCATTGGGTGGCCAACATAATTATTGCGGTCTTTGGATAGATTCAGAATATGGAAATGGGCATTCTAGTGAATCATGCACAACTTATGCTGGTTACCAACAAATGTCTCATAGCAAGGAATTTCATTTTCGGCATCTAGAAGTTTGGGGGCTTGGGTTGCCGCCCCCAACCCCCCAAGAGAGAGGGGAAAGAGTTACAACAAAGGTTAGTACTTACTAGTTGGTGCCTTGATTTATTCTATTTTTAAAATATCCTTCAAAAATATTGTGTTTACAATAATCACAACTGATTGATTCTAAAATATGTGTTAAAATAAATAATAATAACGCTTCTGTGTTCTCAGAGTGGCAGTGTACTAGATGCAAATGTAGAAAGTAAGGCCATGCTCAAGATGGCTGGGAAGCAGATTCATAGTGAAGGACTTAGAGAACCACCAAATGTTTAAAAGTAAAGGTAGAAATTATTGATAATTTATGAGGAGAATCAATTTCTTGTTTTAAATCAATAGATTTATTATACAGGGTACAATATATAAGAATTTTATGTGTTGCTTAGATATTTATTATTATGCTGCATTAACATCTTTTCAAGGAAGTTTGGGTCACGAGCAATTGTAATATAATTTTGTTTCAGTATGGTGAGAAAATATTTTCAGATTTTGTTTTCTGAATTATCTAGCCTTAAAGAATTTTATACACAACTGCTTGCGTAACTTAAGAATGCAAAATGGTAGCCAGCATGTAATGAGACCATTAACATTTAATTAAGTGTCTCTATCCATAATGTTGTGGAGTCTCATTGTCTTGATTAATTACACAATCAAAAGGCGATGGCGGAGCAGAAAATACATTATAATATGTTTTAAATGATGAAGGTATTCAAAAAATACTTAAAGAGTGATTAAATATGAAGTTCAATTCTATGGTTTTAAAATGAAACCAATCAATCAATTTTTGATTTGGATTAGATAGTCGGAAAATGTTTATAATATGGTGCGACTATTAGGAGCTGTTTTTGTGATGATCCTCGTTATTTATTTATGAAATAGATGTTATTTAAGTTGTTCCATTAATATCACGAATATCCTCCATATATTGTATTTTAAAGTTATTATATTATATATAATAAATTGGCGCAAAGAATCCAACAAGGCATGTTTATTGAGTACATAGTACTACGCGAATGAATCAACTGTGAAACACACAACACTTTTTTGTCACTAACCTTAAGGATTTAAATTTAATAAAAAAACCTATTATGACCACAGTTTAGCGCATTATTCTCTACACCTTATACAGTCTTCGTAGAATATTTCATTCTGATCAGTTCTTATAGTTTTTTATTCCATCATTCTCGAGTTTAATTGAGATACTAAAATTAGTTTTACACTAGAAAGTTAGCTAAAATATGTTTTCTTAGTACCTACGAGTTTAAAAACGCAATAAATGAAATTAAAGAACAATGCTATCAAATGTGTTATCCCTGTAAATGAAAGTTGAACTAATTTTGACGCAAAAAGGTAACACTGGAACAGGAGCTGGTGTATATCGCAGCTCTCCTAGAGCACATATATAAATGTGCCTCTGAGGATCTATCCCAATATATTTGAGGTAGAGATCTGCGCGATATTGGTGTGTGCTCACAAAAATCTCAACAGAGGGCCTCTATATATATTTGCAATAACAGTCGAGCAACTAACAGACTGGCAGAATGTAATTCTGTCAATCTGGTGTGGGTACCCGCTGAATTGGGTATTAAAAGCAATGAAATAGCAAACAGACTGGCTTGGGACGCGGTGGAAACATCTTATCTCCCACCGGAGCCTTCCATTAGAATAGCAGACAGTGTGCTTAAGAGCGAACTGAATAAATGGCTCGGGAGGCAGTTTGCACTGGGCGACTTTACCGAGACTGAGACAGTCGAGTGTTTTAATTGCGGAACCCTCAACGTCTCAGTATCAAAAGTAAATTTGCTCTCAGTCTCGACGTCTGGTAAGAATCATGGAGGTAGGCGACGACAGCACATGCAGATTATGTTTAGAAGAGGAGGAAACTCCAATTCATCTACTAACCAGCTGCACACCACTAGGGGCCAGCAAATTAAGGCCACTAGGAGCTCGATTCATTGAGCCCAATGAATTATCCAAACTTCCAATGATTTCCTTGAGGGGAGGGAGTAAAGAAGTACGGACATAATTGATTGAAAAGCCTGAATGCAGCATAAAGGATAGGGACGCACCACAGATAGAAACTAACAACAAAATAGGAATGTCCAAAATCTCAAAAATCAGGTGTCTACAGGTTGAAATGCGGATCTTGTCCTAAAATTTATATTGGACAAACAGGTAGATCCTTCCAGAAACGCATTAATGAACATAAAAGAGCGTTTAGAAACAATAGTCTGAATTATAATTATGTTACACACTTAAACACAGAAAAACACATTTTTGACGACAATTTTGATATTTTACATACAGCCACAAAACGTAGAAAATTAAATTTATTGGAAGCCATGGAGATTAACAAAATGAGACATTCAAATGTATTGCTTGCTTAACGATCAATTAGATTTAAATACCCCTTTATTGAACTTAAATTCTCACAACATTAATTAAGGTTTTATGGTCATTTTTCAGTATATATAGTAGCAGGTAGTTTGTAAACATTACATTTGATAAAGACACGGTGTTGTGGAAACAATTGACATGTCAAAATATATAATTTTCTAAAAATCTGAACTTTTAGTTCTTATTTATTTTGATAAATGGATTTTCATCAAGTAAAAGCCACCTCAGTTCAAGATAGAATAGGAATTGTTGGGAAATATTCACACGCCTAAACATGTTGACCCTCAAGAAGTAGTAAATTTCAAGGACATCATTGCACATATTATTTATAAATGAAATTATAATATTACCTTTTTTATTATTATTTTTATAAATAATAAAATAACATCCACTCGGATATATTTAGTTTCGAACAAACATAATTACATTGAAAAACAAAACAACCAAGTTTACCAAACAAATAATAACAAACGCCAGTGAAATAAAACTCTATACCTTTAGGGATATTTAGCTTTATATACCAAGACACCTACAAGGCCAATGAAGAATGTTGTTCCCAAAGTTGACCAAATTTGAAGCTAAAAAAAAACAAATCACAGTAATTAGATTTTTTTCCAGTCACAGATTTACTTTTGTAACAAAAATGATTGTTCAAGTTAAATTAGCAGGGTTTTAAAACTGAATAGTGGAATTTCTAGTTCCTTAATTCATCTTTAATAATTGGGCAAAAATGAAGATATGTTATTACAAATACATCAGGGTTATTCATGCTATACGGCACGGAATATTATGGCCAAAATACCTTTTTAAAAAAGTTGTACGTTTCGGAAGTGTAAGGATCTATCATGGTTATGCAGTATGGATAGTTGGTTCTCTCCAAAGTAGCAAAATTTTAATTTTTTAAATGGAACCCCCTATTCTTATAGCATTTTTATATTCTGCGGCCAAAATGAGTGTTTCAATAACGTTGAACCTGAATGTTTTTTAAATAATTTGATTTTTGTCAAAAAGTAACCTATTTCTAATTTCTTAAATACATAGGAAATATTTAACTTATGTCAGCGAAATTTACAGTAGAGTGTAACAATGAACCATATTTTAAATTCCAATTATAAAAAACTTCCAATCTTATATAGGGTGGCCAAAAATGTATCCTAAAAAATAGCAACATTTTGTGGCTATAATTTGATTAATTTAAATGGAATTCCATATTTTTTAAATTACCAGGAAAAGTACTTTTTAATTACCTATCGAATGGTTTAAACTGTCGTATAGCTAAGTCTTTGCGTTTTCGCAGAATATGCGAAATTATAGTTTTTGCGTGTTACCTAAATGAATGTTTTATTTACATCTGATGCCTTTGGTATTTCGTAATGGCACATAATTTATTGAGGAAGTCAATTTGGTCTGATTTGGCTGTAAAGTATGTTCGCTAGCACGGTGGCAAGATTCTTTTCCGATATTGAATGTAGACTGACGAATCCTTTGCTCTGCGCAGTTTATAATTATACTGATGGCCAGGATCCGCTTCAGTTGATTTCGAGGCTTGTTCTACTTCGGCAGACCTCGAAACATTGATCGGCAAAGCTAAGGATCAGATTCCAGATCGGGTTTAGCCTCGAAGTCAACTGGTATAAATACAACCTGCGCAACGAGAATCGCCAGTCTACGACCAGGACCTCCGTGGAAGGACCTTCACTAATACCGTTCTTGTGAAACATTAGGAAGCAATTCCAACAACAGCCCCCCAGGACAACTGGTCCATTAACTGGTCGGCTTAACCAATATGGTTATATTGATACACTCTACTGTATATTTCGCTATCATAATTTAAATACTTCTTAAGTATTTCAGAAATTAAAATTAGAATACATTTTGACATAACTCAAATTATTTACACAACCTTAACATTGAGGTATCTAAAACCTTATTCAGAAATACACTTACTTTGAATGTAGAATCGAAAAATGCTGTGATGTAAATTAAAAAAGGTACTACTATTGATACTTCTAACTTTTAACACTTTTGGGACATGTATAGTAAGGAAGTATTTAAAAAGTAACCATAATAGCACTTCACAAATTTCAAACTAACCAAAACTTTTTGAAAGCCTTGTATTTTAGCCACCATATTCTGTGTGCTATAGCGAGAATAACCCTGTATATTGAATTTTTTAGAAATCTTGCACGAAATTTCAACTCAATTCCAAAAATGTTTTGTGTTACTCACATCTTTAAAAAAAATTAATCAAACAAAAAATGAGTTCGCTCAAATTGTAAAATTTGATCAAACTAAATTATCGAACAGAAAAAGATACGCATATATTAGGCTATAAAAATATTGCAGCGTTGCCACATATACTGCCACTGAACTGCTTAATATAAAAGAATTATAGCATATCATACCTATTTTAAACCGTTTTGAAGTTAAAAGCAAAAAACTAGAATAATGCAATTTATTTTATTTATTAGTTTATATTAGCAGCAGCAGCAGGAACATGTAAATTCAGAGGGCCCTATCCAAATTTGCCAGGATGAATAAAAAGTTCAAAAGGTTAGTGATAAGATTTGTAAACTACAATCTACCATAAATTTAATGCATATCCTTATGTATCAATAAATGGTGCTACAAACAATATAACAATTCACAATTATAAGTTAATTACACTACAATTTCTTCAACCTTACGACCCGCCTCAGATTTTGATAAAAAAAAGGAAGATGCAACTTATTACTAAAACAGTCATAAATGAATGAATTATTGTAGTTTTTATTTTTTATGCCACAATAAAATACCCAGAGTTACATTTAAAATTTAGGCTTAATTTACATTTATATAATTGGTTATATTGTTATTTGTCAGTTTATTGTCAAGCAGTATACAAAATTTCAGATTTTTATCTAAAACGGAAGAATGAAAGAAAATTATTTTAATGTCCTTTGCCAAATTATATTAAAAATAATTTTGCTTTCCATTTTTCATGGAAACTAAAAACGTAATAACATATAGAGGATTCCATAAAAAAAATTACTTGGTATGCTGTTCGAGTAGATGTGATAACTCTGCAATGTCCGAAATATTTTAAAAATAAAGATCACAGTCTCCTATGGCTGCAACCAAATTTTTAAAGGACTATCTTTATCCATTCTCCACATTCTTTTAATGGGTCATGGAGTTTAGAGAACTCTGTCATACTATTTACCTTAGACTTGTCACTCCTTTTCTCATCTCGCTTGTGAGAAATTTTATTAAGTGTCTTAGATGTTCCTCCAAACATTCTTCTGGCATATTCCCGTTCAGAAGTTTTCTGTTTTTGAATTAATCCATTGACAATATTAATTTCCTTAGCAATCAGGCCATCTTCAGGTTCCAGAGATCTTGCTTTTTCTAGACATTTCAATGCAGCTTGTAGATCGTTTTTGACTATTTGGATCTATTTTAAATAAATAAAGAATGTATGTATTGCTTTGTAATGGTTAACAAAAAACTGGGTCATAAATATAATAACCGACAATAAATCTTTTTCCTGAGATGGGCACTTTAGCAGAGATTGCATTTTCAATGTCAGTAAAAACTCAGGATTTATTACTTGGTCACTTCACTATAATGCCTCAGCATAGGTAAGATCTATTATCTATAGGGAAATGCTGATTCAGACAACTGTCCTAATCCAACAGACTTGCACTAGCATATGTTAATGAAGTGAACAACAAAATGTTCCTGATTGATATTAAAGCCCAGTCAGAATATAACATTGGACCTAAGGAAATCTAAACACAACTACCAAAAGAAAAATGAAATTGATAGAATGCTGAAATAACTTTTTTAGAGAAGTTCTCTAATTGAATATGTGGTTTTTGGATGTCCAAAACCAGGTGCTACTTGTTGCTATTATATAACTATCTATTTAATAATTCCAAACAAAATATTAAACACTCAAACCGACTAAAATTCCAACACATGTGTGGAATCACAAAATAGTCGACTAAAGTCTGACATATAGAATGTGACAATAGTATTCATGTGCAATTAGAAGGTAAACTATATTTTAGTCACATGAAAATTAAAAAATATTCAGTAAAGTGATCACTTCACAATCTCTTCAAGAGGAAACTATCAAAATTATGTTACCTTAGCCTTTCGAAAAAGAGCCTTAACATTATTAGGCTGACAACGAAGAACAGTCTGAAGAGATAATAATGCCTGATCATAGAGTTCCATTTTTATTTGTGCTGAAGCCATATTGTTACTGACTTTCAATCGATCTTCCAGTAAGGCTTGAAGTTCAGAATCTGTAGGTTGATATGAATTAGAAGGAACATCTTTAGATTCACACATTGTTCCACTTTCAACCTGAAAAAACAGTAAAAATAAAAACATATTGTTGTAATTATCAAGAAAGTATTCTGAAACACTTATAAAATAATTTCTGTATTCATAGTTAAATCATGAAGTTACCTCATCCAAATAATCCAATGCACGGCGGTAACACTGGATGGCCTGAGTATTATCCCCTCGTTGGTACCACCAATTACCACGTTCCCTTTTTTTATTCCTAAAAACAATATCTTTCTTTTAAAAATGTTGGATAGATTCAGATTATCCATACCCAATTGCACGTCGATCTGCTACTGTCAATAATTCGATATCATCTTCAGGCTCAATAGCAGTCAACTCAACATCATAGCAAACTATAGTGTTTCCAGGAATATTTGGGTGAAGTCCTTTTTCTCCAAATGCAAGTCTAGGCTCAATTCTCAAAGTACATTTTTCCTTTAAATTCATTAAACCAATTGCAACATCTAAACCTTGCACAACCTGCAATATTATTGCATTATTTGTGCAATTGTCAATAGTTTGATAAAACAAATAGCAAAATATAAAAAAGTGATAGACAGAAAGTGCCTTATAAAATTGTCGTAAAATGCAGGTTGTTTAAAAGCAAAATTTACGGCATATGATAAGTTGGAATTTAAATATTAAACCTTACAAAATACAATATTTGAAAAATACATACATCACATTCACCCAGTCTTAATTCAAAATCTTGAACACTTTCTACCACAATTCCATCTTGCAGTCTACATTCATAATTTATCACACATCTTGCTGTTCTTTCTGGCCGTGAATCAGGGATTCCCTCAAATATAATCTTTTTCATTATAACTCCTGAACCTAAAATATCATGCCATTCGTCCTTATTTTCGGTTCCAGCTTCCAAATTTCCACTATCTTCAAATTTGTTGACGCATTCATTTTGATTTAGTATATCAAAATTTTGCGTTAAAGCTTGATCATCTTCCGGAGCATCACTCACTAACTTTCGATTCTTTTCACACTCACTTTTGTTAACGATCATTGCTTCGCTTATTTCATAATCGCTTTTCGGGATTTCCTCCTGTTTACCTTCCATGTTTCTAATGTTTTCTAAGAAAAATTCTTTCCTTGCTCAGTGTCAAGTGACACTTTGATATTACAAATTTAAGATCGGAATGAATATTTGGAAACAAATACACAAATTTTTAATTATAAATAATCAAAAATAAAATTATCTTGGAGTTGTACACAACCTCTAACCAAAAATGTTTGTTCAAAATTATGACAAAATGACATCGCACGGTACCAACATACAAAATTTTAAATATGTAATAAAGGTGGCTTCCCACGGCCCGTGTTTTTGCAGGCGGGGACGCGCCGGCTCGCGGCAACGCTCCGTAGGAAGACGGTCGCCTGAGGTGGCGCGAGGAGGTGCGACGGATCCGCAGCGACGTGTTAAATTCAAAGGCGCGAACCGGCGCGGCGCGTTCATGCCTGTGCAGACCTGTTGTTATTGGGGTAGGCAGACATCTTCATTGTTTTTGCGGCTCTACAACAAGTTGTTTTGGTGTTTTTTAAGCGTTAATATGGAGTGGACGAACATTTATTAATTTATTAATACAATAAAAAAAGTGACCGTCATAAAAGCCGAAACGAGCAGCACGATTCGCGAAGTCGTATTCAAGATAAATTAAAAGACAGTATTGGTGGCATTACGATTATGTATGACAGCGGCTGCGGTAACAGTTTTTTGTTCATCCGGCATTACTGATAATCACCAAAAACAAGTTGTTAGCAATCACCAACCCCGACACCAGTAAACACAAAAATATGTAGACAGCTGATTTGTTTTGAAAGGGTAATTGGGCACAAACACGCCGCGCCATGGGAAGAGTTCCGCCTGAAGCCCGTTCCGATCCACGCGCTACCCGTTTTCGCCTCGTGGCGCGGCCCGGTCTGTAAAATTACGGGCCCTGGAAAGCCACCTTTATGCGTACGGACGGGCTTACGGTTAGTTTTTGCTTAAGCCAGGACACGAGCGAGACAAACATAAATAACCATCAACTAAATTTTACCAAAAAAATGTATAAATTATTTCATTGTAGTGAAAAATGCTAGAGCGTGTTAATTTTTCAAAGAAACTTCCACAGGCTACTGAAATGCTATTTTTTCTACTCCCCACTCTAAAATACTCATTTAAGCACTGATTAAGTGTGTGCAACGTTAAATCCATTAAACACTCGTCAGTCACTTGGAGCGCTTCCGGTAATTTATTCACGGAGTAGAAGTCATCGTGGGTTTTCATTAGGTTTAAAAAATCGCTGGATATAATATATTTATTTTATATTACTAAATATAAGCGACTAATAGTCTACGACTTGTCAAACTGTCACTAGAACCGACTCCCGCATCTAATCGAAAACTTGACTATATACTTAAGTTAAGGTTTGGCACTATTTGTTGTGATTAATTTAATCCAAAATTATGTTTCCCAATTGATAGGAACTACCTTTAACATCCCTTTCCATAAAGATTTGCTTTTACATTATGACTTACAAATAAAGCAATAACAAAACATTAACTAGACATGAACAACACAACCAAAACTATTACACAAATAATGCTCGAAAGGCAGTACCTACCAACAACTACTAAGTTTACCGTCGTTGAGCATGATGCGTCACCTTTGCAGAGATTTTAGGAGTAAATCTTTTATTGGATTTTTGCCAATATAGCAAGTCTATATTTGCTCTTGAAATCGAGATTAATAAGCGACTTATATTTTTTGTGATTAATTATTGATATTTATTTTAGGCCGTTTGCCTTTAAAATGGAGCTTGAAAGCAATAAACTTGCTTTAATTTGATATTTGTAGGTTATGTTATGTTGTCTTGTAATAATTTAAGATTTTTTAAGAAAGAATTTAGTTTTTGATTTTTTAGAAATAACTTGACGTGCCAATGTGTACATCGACCAAAAACCGACATACACGGACAAAACACTGGCCAAGAGGGATCTGGATCTGAAAGAATGCATCATATTTTATGCCCAATATGCACAGACTGGACTATTTCTTTTTTACTTCATACAGACTTAATTAAACATTTAAATTCTTTTCATAGCTTAACTATTAATGAATCTATTTTGCATTTTAGGAATTTTGAAGAGTTTTCAGCTTGGAGGACCCAAGAGAATAGGGAAGTAAATTATGCTTGCCATACACGAAAAAAATATCAACATGGTGAAGAAAAAATATTTTATTAGTGTAACAGAAGTAATTACAAAGGTTGTGTATTTACTAATATGTGAGTAGACATATAATGTCTCATATTTTTTAAGGATTTGTCAGCTCAGCTAAAAAACGAAGTGTGAAAACTGGAGGTAGTATTCATATTCATGGGACATGTCCTTCAAGAATTGTAATTAACATTTCAACTGAGGGTAAATAATATTATAATATTATTGTTATTTACAGATTAACTATGTTTTTTTAGGATTTGTGACGGTAAAGTTTGTTGAAAAACATGAACACTGATGAACTAAGGACCAAGAGATTATCAAAAGCTGAACAGGAGACTATCGTCGAAAACGTGCATATGATGTTACCCATTTTATTCAGGAAATGAAGCCCATGTAGACACTATTGCATTTGAAGATAGGCGACAGGTTTGAAAGAATTAAGCCTACAATTATTACGCATTTAATTTTCGATTTTTGTTACAGGTCATCTTGCAAGAAATGAAAAGCTTTGCTCTCAGCTTGGACGAAGATTCTTTTGGGAAATTTGTTGATATTTTTAGGACATTTGAGAGGAACACAGAACAACGAAATTCCGAGGAAAATTCGAAAAAAAGAAAAAATTGAGAAGCAAACATATTATCCTAATAAAAAGTAATATAACTCTTTATAAACCTTTCATTTTCATATAATATTTTATTTTTTAGATAATTGCATACTTTAATCAGTGTGTTATTTATTGCATAATTTTTAATTAATAAATAATAATTGTATGATATAAGATGTAAATAAACTTTATTGTCATATTTTATAAGTCAATTTACCCTCAAAATACAAATAAAACCAATATAAATACATTGTCAATTTTATTTTATAAATTTTAAATAGAATTAACACATTAACCAAAGTGTACTTGGTCAATGATTAACAACAAACAACTAAGCGGTCATACTTATGTGACATGCGTTCTCCAATCTGTCAAGAAAGTAAAGAGGGCTATCTGGATGCCAACTTTAAACACCCCCGATTCGGTTTGAATTTGGCCGCCGCGTTCTGATTTGCTCGGCACATTGCAATATTAATGTATGCTCACATTCAGCGGACGTAGCAAGGCGCTCCCTATACGTTGCGGTAGCGACTGGCAACATGTATGTAGAGGGTGTGGTGTCTTATTTTTCTTTGGATGTTGTTGATTTTGAAATTTAGATTTTTTTCGAAGGTACATCTTATTCAATGCTTGTGTGTAGTGCTGCTGATTTAACATGTGGTAATAAAGTGGAAGTACTCTAGTACCCACTACATTAGAAATTAGTAGAATCGGAGGTTATGGACATTTTAATTCAAAAGGAAATGACCGATGATGATAATTTGGTCAAATGGCTTTGGAATTAACAGAACCGATTTGAATATTTCAGGATAATGAAGGTGATAGTTATCCAATACCAAAAAATCGGAAGTACTATGAAGACTGTAAGGAATTATGAAGGGAACTTATTAGGATATTTTTGAGGCTTACATTTGTAAATTTATTAAAAGAGGTCTATTTTAGAAATTACCACATCTAGCACGTTTCGGAGTAGCGAGACATTTGATATGTTTAGAAGAGGAGCTAGCACACCTGGAAGTAGATATTGCAGATGAGGGTGGAAATAAGGAGGAACCAAATAGCAAATATGCTTTTTTTAACAAATATTGCTCTCTTTTTTTGACACTCACATAATAAGTGCAAAATTTTATTTCTTTCTTCCTGGATTTTCTTGCTTCTATTAATGGCGTTTGATAAGAGGTTAATTTCTTGTGCTTGAGCTTCCTCGATATTTGTCAGCCTTCTTCGTAGATAAAACATTTCACTCTGACTCCCTAGTCTTGGTACTTCTAAAATTAAAACATGTTATAAGCCTTTATTTTTTTTAATTATAACAAAAAAAAAATTGTTGAAGCTTAACCTACAGGGGGGATACAGATGTTGCTCTGATTGGACTGGCTTCCATATGTGAAGCCACTGGGATAGCAGGTGGTTCCTTCTTAATTTCGGCAAGGGGCTTTTTTTCCTTATAACAGGAACTGCTGTCGAAGTTAACCTGGTGATAATATTTATAGTAAATTCTACTCCGTCTAGTTTTCACTATATTGTCTTTGATGGCTGTGTAGGTTTTTTTTAGTGAAATACATTCTGCATATAACTTAAAATTGCATCTCTATTTCATATGAGTGTAATTTGCGTTTAAAAAAGATTATCGTTTGTTTGAAAAAAAGACATACCTTGATACGATCTTCGAAACGTCGAGGGGTTTTCGAGAAATCTTTCCCGTTGGAACCCTGAATTTTTTTTTTTTGTAAATTTTGTAAATGCTAATGATAATATAAATAATAACAAATAAAATATATTTATTATGATGTAATTTCGTACTCACCATCACTGTCCAATACACCCTAACCAAATTCCTCTTTGAAGACATGTTGGATTTGTAGCGTATGTACCACCGGAAGTTTCCGCTACGGTTTGTAAATTCAAATATCCAACACGCTCCCAATCGCAATCGCTACCGCTACGTATCGGGAGGGCTATGCAACTTGTCGCTATGTTTGCTTAGCTAATTCGATAAAAAGATAACCTTTTTTCCTTTTCAACAATGATATAGTTCTTGAAGCACCTCTATGCCAATGCACAATATTTACAATTCGAATATTTTTTTGGAAAACTTAATATAGTAATTTAGAAATGGATTTCGCGCAAATACGTTTATTGGCGTTATTGGGCAAATGATTCTGGTAATTGTGCCCTTCCCTAAATTAAAGAAAGCAAATATTGTATATACATATTGATTTTCAAACAATTAACTGCATTTATTTTTGAAAAAGCTTTTTTAAAAAATGGAGAATGAAAATAAACCAGATAGCATTGAAAGTCTTTCGAAAGAAGCGGAGCAATTAAAAAAAAGACTTGAGGAGGAAAGGCAAAAACTAAACGATGTTACATGTAAGTACAATTTTTAAACTTTATTATCCTGACAAAGGATTAATAATTATTTATACATTTAATTATTGCTTTCAGTGGAGTCAGTAGCAGAACGTTTGGATTGTGTGAACTGCACAAATATAAAACCCAGACGTACATTAAAAGGACATCAAGCTAAAGTACTTTGTTCGGATTGGTCTCCAGATAAGAGACATATAGTTTCATCTTCACAGGTAGTAAATGAGTAATCACTGGTGTTCAAATATAGGATGGAGTAGCATTAGGATCACGAGAGATATTGTGGTTCAGTTAAATTAAAATTCCACCTTTTTGGTTTGTTTAAAGAAGGGCAACTTAACTTAAGTTTAACAGGCACCAATATCTTACAGTTTTTTGAGATTTTAATGCCAAAAATTGGGTTCTTAAAACAAAGATTATGCAAAGATGGCGGAAAGTCACAAACAAAATTAATATAGCCTTATTTAATAATTTTGTAAAAAAATATATAAACCTAAACCTATCTACCCTAAGGTTGAATAATGTTTGCAACTCGTATACAAATTTCCTCCATCTTTTCTTATCTAGTGCCATTTTAGCTGCTTCCATTATAACCAGTCCTCAAATGTTTTAGAACTGGTTGTACTTTCAATCTCTCTCCAATCGCGTCATTTTGGGATTCTGTCTCTCCTTGTGATACCTAGGACTTTTCCTAGGTACTTCATCTCCATGCTTTGAATCCTGTCTCTTGGCTTTTGGGTTAGTACCCATCTTTTACATCCAAATGTTAAAATTGGGATGAATATTGTCTTGTATATTATTATTTTGGCTTTAGGTGATATTTCCCTCTTTCCTATGAAGCTTGATTTTAAAGTATGAAATAGTCTTGAGGCACTCTCAATTCCCGCATTTAGTTCTACCCCCAGATATTTAAAAGCATCAACTTGCTCTATTCGTTTCTCATTTAATTCAATGTTCAGAAGTCCATTTGTTTTGGACTTAACCATAATTTTCGTTTTTTTGTCATTGATTTTAAGGTTTTTCTCATCCAATCCAAACGGGTTCCACATCTTTATACCCTACTAAGAAACCGGATGTACTGGTTCATGTTTTTTTTATTACATTGTCCATAACTAAGTTAAGTAGTAGCGGACTCAAAACACTTCCCTACCTAACTCCCTCGTTTACTATAAAGTATGCTGGTCGCATGTTGTCAGTTCTGAGGCAATTTTTGCTGTTCTTATATGTAGTTATTATGGCTGAAATTAGTCTTCCTTCAAAGCCTCACTCTATCAAACTCTCCTTCACCGCATATTTTGGAAGTTTGTCAAAAACTTTCTCTTGGTCTAGGAAAACTAAATGGATCTCTGTTTGCTTGATACTGAAGATGTGGTCGTGTATGCTTCTTCCTTTCCTGAATCCGCTTTAAGATTGCTCTAGTTGTGGTTCCAGGACTTTAGAAAGTTTTTCTTGTAAAACTTGCTCATATACTTTCAATGGTATCCTCAATAATGTTATTCCTCTCTAGTTACTGCAATCTGTTTTATACCATTTTATAAATATTGGCACAATGACTCCTATTTTCCAATCCTCAGGTACCTTTCCCTCTTGCCACGCTAAGTCGAATATTCTTGTTAGCACTCGACATCCTACTTCATCCATATTTTTCAGCATCTCCTCCATGATTTTGTCGTGTCCAGCAGCTTTGCCTTTTTTTAGCTTACTTAGAGCGCATTTTATATCGTACATTCTTATGTAGTCGTTCCAGCTTCTGTCGCCAGTGCCCCGTTCTATTTCATCATCTTCTTCATTGCTGTTAGTCAATAAACTTTGGAAATATGTTCTATACCTGTCAATTATATCATTGTCGCTGCCATTTATGCCTTTTATTTGTTTTATATATCCGGGCTTATCTTTGCTCTTTATATTTTTTGCGTTTTATAGAACAATTTTTGGTTGGTATGGAAGTCCGACTCGTTTTTAGTTCCAAAATCTTCCCAAGATTGTTTCTTCGCTTTCAATATCTGTTGCTTAACTTTTTCTCTTTGTATTTTATACTCCTGATAGCTGTCGTTGTTTTTAGTTGCTAGATATTTTTTCTGTTTTTGTTTTTTTATCCTAATTTCTTTTTTGATATCTGCGTTCCACCATGCTTTTTTTTATGATCCTGTTTATTTTTTTTACTCCACATACTTCTGAGTTTGTTTTTAGTATCATGCTTTTAAAGAACGCCAACAGTTGATCTAGGTTGTTGGTTTTTGTATCACATACCCATTGTTACATTCATTTTATTTTCGGAATTCCTCTGCTATCTCTTTGATGCCAAGTTTATATAATCTAATTGATTCTTTGCTGTTTTTATTTTGCATGGTGTGTTTTGGGGGCTTTGGGTACTCCTAGCGAGGTTTTTCCAACCAACATGTAGTGATCACTACCCATCTCAGCTCCTCTTCTAAACCTGACGTGCGTGATTTCATTTTTGCATTCTTTATTTATAATGATATACAGGGTGACTCAGAGTAAATTTCACTATTTAAACGCGCCTTGTACATCCAACTTAATATTTGTGGGGGGGTTAGCGCTGGCAATGTGTGGCGACTGCGTGCGGATTATCAGTCAACATGGAGCAGTGGTCAAATGAGCAACGAGCTTTTATGGTCGAAGCGTTCTTTAAATCGAACGATTCGTATGTTGCGGCACGACGACATTTTTGTAATCGTTACAATATTCGGCGTTTACGTGATGCTCCGTCAAACAATTTATTGAAATCGTGGGTTAAAAGATTCAGACAAAGTGGTACAGTGGCAAATCAGAAGCGTCCCGGTCAACAGAGGTCCATCAGAACGCCAGAGAATATTGAGATTGTGCGACGTGCTGCGACTGAACATCCGAGGCGCTCAATTCGAAAACATGGCCAGGCCCTGAATATTCATCGCTCATTCATCAAGTGTGCAACGGATTTTAAGCAAAGACTTACGGTTCCATCCCTACAAAATTCAATTGGTGCAGTTTCTAAAGCCCACAGACTACGAACTGTTATTTCAAAATTTGGGGACATCTCTTTTCCTCCAAGATCGCCCGATCTTACGCCCCTAGATTTTTTTTGTGGGGATATTTGAAGAGTATCGTCTACACTGATCCACCAGCCACTATGGAGCAGTTAAGACGCAACATTCGAGAGGCTATTGCCGACATTCCTATTGAAATGTGTCAGCGGGTCTTTCAACATTTAAGAGCATCATTGGAGGAGTGTTATCTAAGGGATGGTCGACATTTGGACAACATTGTGTTTAAAAAATAAAATCCGCATTTCTGTACTTTCAAAATTTATTATTAAAATTATGCCAACACTTTTTATTCCGTTTTTATAACATGTTAAAAAGGGAAATTTACTCTGAGTCACCCTGTATTATTTCTCTAGTGTATTTATGAACATCTTTGTGGCTAAAAAACGTATTCATCATTAGCAGGTCATTCTGGATGCAAAAGTCATTAATTCTCAGACCATTCCGCTGTTTTCTCCGCGTCTTCCTATGAATTCCCCCGTCTGATCATTCTTAATTCCGACTCTGCCATTCAAATCTCCTATAATGATAATTATTCCGTTGAAGCTTTCTACTATTTCTGTTACCTAATAATTTTAAAAGATTGCATATAGTTTTTTATTTACCCACATTTTGAATTTGATTATTTTTTATTGATATATAAAATAATTTATGGAGTAGTAAGTTTCCTAGTTTTATTACATATATTTAATTTAATTTTTAAGCTTTTTCAACTAGCTCAAAAGTAGGATTGGCGATATGATAAATCAAGGGCCATTTGATTTAAATATCTATTTTGGCATTGTAACTTTTATCAAATTTCTCAGATTTTAAATTAAATGATTATTTTATATTAAAAATGGGATTATGCAGTTAGCTGTGGATATACGTTTTTGTACCATTTAGTGGTCACAAGAAGCAGTTTTTGATGCCTTTTACTTTAAAACCTTTAAAAATAAAAATCTTACAGATTATTTTATTGTATTGTTAAAAACCCTGTTTCTAAGAGACGGAAAACGATTTAGTTTGAAATATAGTTTTCATTTTGTTCATCATGCAACACATCAAAACAAATTGTACACGCGTGAAACCCTTAAGAAATGAACATTGAACAAACATGTGTTTTTCTTTATAATTGTTAAAACAATATATTACTACTATTACTAGGTGTTGGTAAAGTGTTTTTGTAGGATGGTAAAATGATTATCTGGGATGCTTTCACCACTAACAAGGAGCACGCGGTAACAATGCCGACCACATGGGTAATGGCTTGTGCTTACGCACCATCAGGCAACTTAGTCGCTTGCGGGTATTTTATATTCCACTATATCGGATTGTAATTGTAATCGCGTAAAATTAAATATTAATTATAAGCTGAACTAACTTATACCACTGAACATTAGCAATATTTGGTGCTTATACCGGAAGTAGACGTTGACCTGTCTATAAGTGATCTATTAGAACAAATCCTATTGCTACTAGATAATTGAATAATAGTAAAATTGGTCCATCTCAGGCGGGTTTGAGGTTTTTGTCCTGAATCGAATTATCTTCTGCCCATGCAAATAAATTTCGCAATTACTACTCTCCACTTTGCGCCATTTTTTAGAAGAGTCTGCAGGTCTTATTTACACAGGGTATACAGGGTTGATATTAAAATGCCCAAACCCTTCCAGGATTCTGCTGCAAAAGTTAGATTTTATATTAAATTAAAGGACGGAAAAGTGTTGTGTGTGTGATTTATTCCAAGGATAGTGAAATCGTAAGTGAAAGGTAACTTCAGTAAAAACTTCTCTCTTAACTATTTTTATTTTTCTATAAATGTCCACAATATATAGACCTTGTGGAATTTGGTTATTTATGGTTTGGCATTTTACTGATTGAAGTCTTTCTGGAAAATATCATCTCCAAATCGCGGAAAATCTAATAAAGGCGAGGAATTATAATTTTTCAAATTACTGTTTTTACGTTTTTGCAAACAAGAAAATAAACATACATATTTGGGAAAACTAGTCAACTTTAGAATAGCAATAATATTGTTTGTAATATTTGGTGCATTATTTGTGATTTCTAATAGAAATTTTCTTGCAGGCAGGAAGCTCGTAGGTTTGAACAGTTTAAATTATCAAATAAGTGACCTAACCAATAAGTTGTTGCTAGTGGTATTGTAGAATTGATAATTTTTTACAAAATAGTGCATGGTTAAGCTTTGGTTAATGTTATTTCAGATTTTTCTTTAATTTCATCTAAATGAAATTAATGTTTTTAGGGGATTGGATAACAAGGTGACAGTTTATCCACTCAGTTTAGACGAGGACGTATCTCTGAAAAAAAAAACAGTTGGGACTCACACGAGTTATATGAGTTGTTGTATTTTTCCCAATTCTGATCAGCAGGCAAGTTAAATAATTTCACAAAAATATAACAATTCTTACTTTGAAATGAGCAACGTGTTACAGATAAAGATAGTTCTAAAAATCGTGTTTCAGTCAAAAGGAATCACCAGTTATGAAATGAAAAAGGTGCCACTATTGTTAACGGCTCGTTTAGATATTCACATTTCAGTTCTTGCCTCGATCCAGATTGTTTTACCAAAATGGCTAGAGCTAAACAAATACAATTTTTTCATAACTAGAATACATTTGGATATAACATGTGGAGAAACACCATTTTGCAATGCATTCCTATCGCGAGAATTTTATTCATTGCATAGTGATGTTCTTTACCACCAATCACCACCATCACCATGCATGAACTATCAAGATGTTGAATATTTCAGATTTTAACGGGCAGTGGAGACTCCACTTGTGCTTTATGGGATGTGGAATCTGGGCAGCTTCTTCAAAGTTTCCACGGCCACTCTGCTGATATTATGTCTGTAGATTTGGCACCATCAGAAACGGGAAATATGTTTGTTTCAGGGGTGAGTTGCATTGCAAACAAATTTTATACCACTCTTCACCTAAATTCTAATCTTGAGAGTACCTACTTCCATTTACTTATCTTATACACTTTTGGCTGATGTATAGGTATGTTGCAGAGTGTGGACAAAATGGTCCTTATTTGGGATATGAGAACAGGTCAATGTGTGCAGTCATTTGAAGGCCATGAATCGGATGTTAACAGTGTTAAATTTCATCCAAGCGGTGACGCAGTGGCTACAGGGGGGGACGATGCAACGGTTAGTATTTTTTATGGTTTCTTATTTCAATAACACGCGTCAAAAAATATTTGCTTAACAGTCTAGATAATTTTTCATTTTCCTAATATGGTATGGACCTTTTGCCACATGGTTTTTGTAAAGTTTGTTGGATTATTTTTTGGAACTTTGTTTATTCTATGGTGCATTTATGTCTTCATATTTCAAATAATTTTTTCTCAATGCTTATTATTATTACTACAGAGTGGAAAAAATATAAAATGAAAGACTGCAATCTATGCGCATTTAAATACATGAAATTTTAAGTATATGTTCATTGAAATGGACAAGAAATGCAAATATGTATTTTTATTATATGAAAAATTATGAACATGAATGTTATTTTAAATAAAGCCAGAACTATTATTTTATAATTAAACCCGTTCTTGAGCAATATTTTTTACCCATACCACAGACCTATTTGAATAAATATAAATGAAACGAAAAAAAATCATAATAAAAGTTTTTTATTCATAAATACACACATTGATATTTACATAGCAAATTGCAAAACAGAAAATTCTTACAAAGACAAAATATTATTTGCGATTATAAAAAAAATAAATACAATTAAATCGAGAATACTATTGATACTTTTAGATAATAGCAACTTGCACGACATACACTTCGTAAATTTACAAGCTATCAACACTACCTTTACATATAGTTGACTAGTATGGCAAGGTAAATTTACAATATTTTGTCAAATACCTTAGATAAGTCCTCATTGAAATGGGCTTGTTCGCTGTTTTTTGGTTATTGTTCAAGACAATGACGTATTGTTGGCTGGGAGGGTTCCCTTCGTTGCAATTTTCGTAATTTCAGTTGCTGCTTTACTGATTTAACATTCTAATCCACAATTTTTTTTTTCTGCATGAATCTGTAAAATCCAAAAACGCAATAATTAATTTGGGTTTACATTCGTTAAAAAACGAATTTTAAAAAATCTTTTCTGCTTATAAACTAACCAAATAAAATATTTGAGTAGAAAACTTTTGTAAATATATTAACATTGGTAGTTACCATTAACTAATTTATAAAAGCGAAAGTTTTCTATTATACCAAAAAACATATGCTTTTATTTTTTTACTAATATGTTAAGAAAAAAAGGTGAAAATAAGGTTTATACTTACAATTTTTGAACAACAAAACAAATTGGTCCATCAAAAAGTGAACTCCCGACAGCTCTTTATCCACGATATATGGAAGTTAGTTTTCGTCATTTTAACAAATACTGAACACACACAGACACAATTCACTTTGCAAAACAAAGCACACAAGAGTCCGGTCCCCTCGTAATGTAATAAACTAATACACACATACAGTCCTAAAGGGCCGGACAGAGTATATAGAATGCAATAAATTCTCTAGTACTGGAAAAAATGCATGTTTTGTACAAAAAAGACAAAAGAAATGCAATTTACATTTTCTCCGCTGCTTAATTATTACTGCATTCAGTGCAGCATTGACTGATTGATTGATTGATTCTTGTTCTATTTTTGGTTTTTGTTTAGTGAAATGGCTGGTTATAGCACATGTATAACAAAGAATTTTTTCATAGTGTCGATTATTTGATCTCCGAGCTGACAAAGAAATTGCCGTGTACAGCAAAGAAAGCATTATATTTGGCGCAAATTCGGTTGACTTTTCTGCTTCAGGTATGTTTTTTTTTTTATATATGAAGATACCGATAATATATTATTCAAAATATTTTAGGTCGCTTACTTTTTGCTGGTTATAACGATTATACAGTCAATGTTTGGGATACTCTGAAGTGTGTCCGGGTATGGTTGCTTTACGGTCATGAAAATAGGGTGTCATGTCTCCAGGTATCGCCAGATGGCACAGCATTATCGACAGGATCATGGGATTATACTTTACGTGTGAGTATGTTATTAAGCCTGTGTATATTCATTTCGGTTAAAATGAAATAAGTGTTGTATGCATCATCATTGTTGCAGGTATGGGCTTAATTCGATAGAGAACAATTTATTCTCATTTAGCAATGAGTAGTTCTAATTAGGATATATAAAACTTTCCGTAATCAGAACAGTTTTTCTTTCAACTTTCCATCAGAATTGGTTGGAAGTTTCCGCAGAATTGGTTGGAAGTTTATTAGTAAAGGATAAAATGTAAAAAGGTGGAATTCAAAAATAAATAAGTAAATCCTCATAGCTCTTTGTGTTTAGTGGATTAGATGATAGAAAATTAATGTGATCGCATTATCGCTAGAACAAAATGGCAAAGTTCCACTTGGAACATAATTCCATGGAGGCAAAGTAGGCGCTGCAGCCTATATCAAAAAATAGGCCTAAAAGATATTTGGTTCTGCGATATATACATACCTGTCAAAATAATAAAAGGTCTAATGTTGAACCTTGAACATGTTTATCATCAGGAGAGCACGAAAGCAATTAGAGTATTTTAATGTTAAATAAGTGTAAAAATCAAATACAGGATGCAAAATTTAAAATTTATTAAAATGACATAAAATTTACAAAAAAAAAACGAATTAATAATCAGGGCCCAAATAAGTTATGTGGAACAGGTTCTTTTAATTTCTTGTTGCGGAAGATGTTACTTAGCCGTTTTGTTCTCGGCGTACCATTCTGAAATTAAAAATTAATCTAGCTATTTAATCAACATAAAATTTAATAAATAATAATAAAAAAGTAATAAATAATTCACATTTGTTTTCTTTAAAAAAAAAAAAACATATAGGCAATTGCTGTCTTACAACATGCATAACGTAATCTTAGTTCTCTACCTCAACATTTTCTCTTTGGGTACTTTCTCTGCGCCCGCCCATGAAAAGTGCTTTTATGCGACTTGGTGTAACCTAAAATAAAACAAATTCTTTAATCTCAAAATGCAGAAAAAAAAACAATAAAAGCGTCCACCGAAAATAAAATTTAATAGGTACCTTTTTAGACCCAGAATTGACTTCCCTTAGAGGTAGAATTTCAGTTCCTTGTAGTGAAAGACGGCCGCCATTTTTGCTGGGAGTCGGAGGCCCAGGTTTTTTATATGTTGTGGTGCCAAAGTCTTTTCTCGGGCGTGTTTTTTCTCCTGGCAAAAGCTTGCACATGCTGTTGTCTAATTCAATATTCCCAGCCTAAGAAGTTGTTATGTATGTTAATAGTAATGGAGGACCAGAGCAACCGTTTGGAAAACGTAAAACCAAGTCGAAATATTTATTTTGATGGTATATTTAGCCGCTCTTGAGACAACTTGAAAGACATTGGACCCTACCTTAAGAAATTTTAGTATTAATAGCACTGTTTACTAATTTTATTGCAAGAATTAACTGTCAATTCACCTTTATATCATCCTCCTTAAACCTAGTCGGACTAACGAATTGCAGTTCTGCAGGATATGAAGACTTTAAATGAGGAGGCACCATGGAATTTCTCCAAGCTAATTCAGACATACGACCAGATTTTGTCTGTTGGTCTGTCACATTGCAACGACCTTCTTTAAGATCTGTCAGGTACTTATTGTTAAATAAATGATCGTCTTCGTCTTCCATTTCAAAGTTTTGACCTAAAACAATCATATTCCAAATATATGTAGTCTCAACAATAAATTGTTAATGACATTTTAAAAACACTTTTAGGGACTTACAGGAACTGCCAAAATGAATGGACTTAAACAAAAAAATTGCGGAAATTTTGAAAATAGTTGATAGTTAACAAAATCATCTGTAATTTATGCAATTTTGTGACAAGTTTAGATTAAATATCTAGATTTATGTTTTGCGTATTTTCCGCTGTTTCAATAAAATAAGTTTCAGTTTGAGAAATTATCCATTCATTTATGTCATTTTAAATCTACCAATGCTGTGAATGGACGTTCTCCTTGAGACTGTAACAGCTTCTTGTATAAATTCGCGAGGTCTGCCAGAAAGTTCGGAATTCCCTTCCTGAACAACCACTTGTTCCCTTGTAACAGTGCAATTTTTTCTAGTATGTTCACTGTAAAAAGATATACTCTCTATTTACTTATATTCTATACTATCTAATCAGACTTTACCTATTTTTCAGTGATATACTACTCCTGGTACTGGAAAGTGTATCCCAATCAGCAACTTTATTTCCTTTGCCCATACTCCTTAAACTCGACATACTTTGTTTAAAAGAACTTTTTTCTTCAGAAAGCATCTGAATAGATTCCCTGGAAATACATTTCTCTCTTAAAATAAACATTTCCTTCTGTGCTTCTAACATATGAATTTTTCGTTTGGCTTCGAAAAGTTCGCTACGAAGATCTTCAATTGTTGGATAAAGATAAGACTACAAAGTGAACAGGTAATCATCTATACTAGTAATCTAGTAATATTAACAACTTACAGTTGAATCTTGATCACTTTTTACTTTTTTCATCTCCTTGCTTAATTCTTCTTGATACAATTTTAACTGAAATTAAATACACAATAATAGCTTTGTTCCCAGTAACGATTTCGAACGAATTCGGAACTGGTATTGAACTAATTCGAGATCTTTCTATTGCGCATGTCCGATTAAAAAACGATTTAGTATTTTTGTTTACCGCAAACGTTTGCGGAATAGGCCATCCGATCGAATCAGTCACTAAATACCGTATTTTAATTCATTTTGTTTACTAAGGTAATTTACTTATTTGTTTATTATGTGTGTAGGTAGTTAATATTTTCTTACTGAATTCCTTTTTATTTATTTTTTTCGTAAAAAAAAACTGAATAAAAAATTTAAAGAAATTTATTTTTTACTCATTAGTTTACACATTACACTCATTTGTTTATTTATGCATTGTTTCACTGCTTACCGACTAGGTGCTAAATAATAATTATTCTAATTCTAGCCAGATTTAGTTTCAAAATAACCGCTACATAAAAAGAAATGTCGAGAAAAGCAAAAAAACAAAAAAAAAACTCAATAGTCAAACTAAACAAGAATACGCATGTCTCGAAGTAGCAATTTTCACTTGATACCTGGGCGTGGTACAACCGATTCCGTATCTCCGTATCCAAATAGAACTATTTATCAGCGAAAACGGGATTTAAATTAAAATTTGGGAATTTCATTATCCTCGAACTGTGCTTGCGAATAGTCCCGAATCGGTTCTAAATCCTTATCGCGAATGAAACTATTATTAATCAATAATTCAACATACCATTTTAACCTTCATTTTTTCCAGTTTTTCTTCATACTCGGTCCTCACTTCTCTAATTTTTTTACTTTGCCTTGATTCATGGTCTGCTTTTTCTTTTTTTAATATATTTAAAAATTCCTCTTTATCCCTTGTCCGCTTGTATTTCATGGTATCTACTTCTGTCATGTATTTGCTGTTCTCTTCTAACAGTTTCTCATATGCCTCTTTTAATTGATTGGAAGCCAGTATTTGATTATTACGCTCTTCTATAACTTTTCTACAACAAAGTCAAGATTGAAGCACTTCTGCGATAACTTAAGAAAACTCACCTCAAATTAACGTTATCCATTTCGTATTTCGAATTAGCAGTAACAGCCATCGCATAAGTTTGTTGAATTTTGTCCAATTGCTGTTTTAAGTCGTATTTCCCTTGTTCACTTATTTCGATACGTTTAAGAAGTTCATTCTTTTCTTCAAGGTTATTTTCGCGAGCTCTTAAGATGTTTCTCTCTGTCTCTTTCATAATTTTTGTTTGAGATTCTATAATTTCATTTCTCTCTTTCTTAATTTTTTGTGTTTCCTTTTGACTGATTTTAAGCGACAATAAAATTGTTTCCTTTTCCTTTGTAAGGGTTTGTAGTATTTTGTTTCTTTCACAGTTTTCTTTAAGTACCTGTTCTTTTTCAGAGACTATTTTTTCTAATTTGTTTTGCAATTTTTCAACTTTAGCAAGAAGTTCTTGTTTGTCTGTTGCAATATTTTGAAAATTTAGTGCAATTGTTTCTTTATCAGCTATCAACTTATTGGTTTCTTCAATAAGTAAAACATTTTCTTTTTGAAGATTTTCGTTACAAACTGTCAATTTAGTTTTTTCGAGTTCAGATAATTCATACTTCGTACAGGTTTCTTTCATTACTTTATGGAATTCATCTTTCTCCTTTTGGCTAATTTGAACAATTAATTCAATTGCCTCTTTTTCTTTTCTAACTATTTCGCTTTTATTCCTTAGTTCCTCTATTTGTTTGATTATATCTTCTTTTTCTATAATTACCTTTTCCAATTTGTTTTGCAAATCCTCTTTTATCTTTAGTAGTTCTGCTTTATCAATCAATGTTTCTGCTAATTTACTTTCCAAATTATAGCATTTTAGCTGCATTTCCTCAAAGTTCTTTAGTAATAAATTTTGTTCATTCGACTTTTGGTCTAAATTAAAAGATAATTTTTCAACTTTAGCAAGAAGGTCTTGTTTGTCTGTTACAATATTTTGAAGACTTTGTGCAATCTCTTCTGTATCAGTTTTTAACTTTTTTGTTTCCTCAATAAGTGAAACATTTTCTTTCTGCAGATTTACATTACAAGCCCTCAATTTAGCGTTTTCCAGTACAGATAATTCATATTTTGCATGCGTTTCTTTTATTTCTTTATCCAATTGATCTTTTTCCCTGTGGCTAACTTGAAGGGTTAACGCAATTTCCTGTTTTTCCTTCTTAAGTATTTCGCGATCACTACTAATTTCCTCTATTTGTTTGATTACATGTTCTTTTTCTATAATTATCTCTTCCAATTTGTTTTCCAAATCACAAAGCAAATCATCCTTTATCTTCAGTAATTCTGCTTTATCGATCAACGTTTCTGCTAATTTACTTTCCAAATTTTGACATTTTAGCTGCATTTCTTCAACATTCTTTAGTAATAAATTTTTTTCATTCAACATTTGGTCCAAATCAATAGACAATTTTTTAACTTTTGCAAGAAGATCTTGTTTGTCTGTTACAATATTTTGAAAATTTAGTGCAATCTCTTCTGTATCCTTTTTCAACTTTTTTGTTTCCTCATTAAGTGAAACATTTTCCTTCCGCAGATTTTCATTACAAGCTTTCAATTTAGCGTTTTCCAGTACAGATAATTCATATTTTGCATGGGTTTCCTTTATTTCTTTATTCAATCGATCTTTTTCCTTGTGGCTAACTTGAAGAGTTAACGCAATTTCCTGTTTTTCTTTTGTAAGTTTTTCGCGATCAAAACTAATTTCCTTTATTTTTTTGTTTACACCTTCTTTTTCTAGAATTATCTTTTCCAATTGGCTTTGCAAATCACAAACCAAATCATCTTTCTTCTTTAGTAGCTCTGCATTTTTATTCACGATTTTTTGTAGTCTTGCTTCCAAAGTTTGATATTCAACCTGCATTTCTTCAGAATTTTTTAGCAATACATCTTTTGAATTTGATATTTTGCCTAAAGCAACAGATAAGTAGTCGACTTTGGCAAGAAGTTCTTGTTTGTCTTTCTCAAGATTTTGGAAATTTAGGGTGATTTCTTCTTTATCGGTCATTATCTTTTTGGTTTCCTCAATAAGTAAAACATTTTCCTTTTGAATATTTTCGTTACAAATGGCCAATTTAGTTTTTTCAAGTTCAGATAACTCATATTTTACAAAAAGTTGCTTTATTTCTCCATTCAGTTGGTCTTTTTCATTTTCGCTAATTTTAAGAGCTAATGCAGTTTGCTCCTTTTCTTTCATAAGTTTTCCGTAATCTAAACTAACTTTATCTATTTGTTTGATTAACTGATTTCTCTCTGCAATTATATTTTCCATTTGGTTTTCTAAATCTTTTCGGGTCATTTCGCAACGTTCAAATTTATTCAAGTCTAGATTCCTAATTTTCAATTCCTCTGCTTGCGTAGATCGCATCTGCTCTAAATTTTTTGATAACAAGTCATTTTCTTTTAAAATTTTATCTAAATCTCTTGACAATGCATTAAGTTTTAAAATCAATTTACTCTTTTCCTTTATAATGTTTTGTAAATTTTGTAAAATTTCTTTTTTAGCACTTTTACTTTTTTCCTTAGCATCATCAGTCGTCTCAAAAATGCAGTATGTGCTTTTTAGTTGTTGAACAGCTTCTTCAAGTCGTTTGATTTCATCCGCCAAATTTTCGTTTGTATATTCCTTGGAAATATCGGCTAAAAAAAAATTTAATTCATCGCTCCAGGCAGTTTCTTCTGATAAATATTTTTCTAACAAAACTTTGTGAGACTGAATATTTTGTATTTCTTTTTCTAATTGTCGGTTTTTATTTGAAATTTCTTCACAATGACAAAGAGATTTTTTTAGATCATACTCAATAGTCTCTTTTTCTATTGTAATATTCTGCAAAATGTGTTGTAAGTTATTCTTTTCTTTCAAAACAAATTCCAAATTTTCCAAGGTGTCACTTAATTTTTTCTCTACGTCTTTGAGTTGGATATCCACAACAGAATGAGCCAAATCTTCGTCGAGTTGCATTGGGAGAGAGTTTCTTGACCTTCTAGTGTAATAGCGCTCGAGGCTAGCACTGTCATCTAAAGAACTTCCATTATTGGACTTCGATCGGAATTCGCCCAAAAGGGATTCAAGTTCAGCACAATGCGCCAAAAGATTTTCGTTTTTAGATTCAAGTTCTGTCGAATGTTCACTGAGAATTTCAAACTTTTCCTCTACATTGATAAATTTTTCCTGCCACATAAAACATTCTGCTTGTAACTTTCGTAACTAAAAAATTCATAATTTATCAAAAAATCATTTCTGAGATATCCCAACTAATATTAATAACAGAATTTTTATTAGGGAGGGGAAAACTATTTTTTTTTTCAAAAATATCTTGGGTATATTATTTAATGTCCTATACTCATATTGAATTTTCATAACAGTAAATAAACCAAATAATTACGAACTTTCTGATGTACTGCATATTATATTAAAACCTTCAAAATTATTCGTTAAAATAAATTGACCAAAACATTATAGCAAATAGCATTATATAATATATTTTATTTAAAAGCGGTCAAATCAATATACTACATGTATATCATCACCAAGCATTAGTGGCGCACTCTGGTCATGATTATATTTCAGTGGTGTAGGTGACCATAAACAAAATTATTCTTTTATGCAAACCAGAAATTCAGAGGCTATATTTTACCTTATCCTTTAAGTTATCTTTTTCTCTTCTTAATTCCTCTTCTTCATGGTGACACTTTTCAATATACTCTTCCAGATTAGATATTTCCAACTTTAATAGCCTTTGTGTACTTCTCGCGTCCTTATCTTGATGATATGGAGGAGTTCTGTTCTCCAAATTATCAACTTCAGATTTCAATCTCTTAATTTCTGCACGTTTTTGGGACAGCTGAGTTTCTACAGAAATGCTAGCATAAAATACCATAACACAGATATAATTAAAAATTTCACTTTTTTATTTTGAATGTTTGAATTCAAAGGTAGATTTTTCCCTACTGAAAATGTAATGATTTATTTCTTAAAAAGGTATATTCTATGGGGAATTCATGAAATATTTATATAAAATTTGACTAGAAATTCTGGAAAAGAAAATAGTTTGAAATGTCTTATTTTATCTCAATCGATTCTAAACCCAACTGAGTTCGTTGAATTTTTCTAGTCGCTTTTAGCGACGTTAACAAGATATACCTTTTTCAAATTTTTGACATTCCAAGCTGTATCTTGGACCATTTAGCTTCCAAACAAAAATTCTTTAGTAAATTTGGTCAAGAGAAACAACAAAAAATTGTCATTACTTATATACAGAATATATAATTTTCTTTAAAATTTGGACCACAAAATATAATACGAATATTTGAAAAAAGGTTTTCTCCATCACAATCGCTACTGTTTCATAGTTTATAACATCCAGTTTTCTAGCATAAATGATACATTTGACATTTCTTTTTGATTAAATTGTATTAATTGTATTAAATCTTTTATAGACAATAGAGTTACCACTATGAGCTTTATAATTTATTTGTATAGACACCTTGTCTTACTTTTCAGTCACAATCTGAGGGTACCCTAGCCAGTATAGCGGCAACCAAAATAATATATTGTCGTTTGTGGTTAATGTAAAATATTTACCAGTTTTTCCTAGTTCTTTTTTTGTATTGACTCATAAGAAAAAGCTGAAAAAGTATCGCTGTAATGTTTATAATGGCAGCTGTTGAACCCAAGTTCACTGCACTAACATGAAAACAAGGTTAAGTAAATAATAAAGGCAATGGAAGTCCAAAATATCTTACTTCGTCAATATTTATCACTGTCTATGACCTTAAAACAAACCCATTAGTATACACTAAATTTTATAATGTTATGGCGTTTGAATTAACCAACTGACATAAATTGTTAACTTATTGTCAATGTTAACGCTTAGAGCAAAAATTCTATAATTATAGAGGAAGTCATAATAAACTTACTGTGTGGCAGCCCAGAACTAATTTCCCTATCCATGAGGTACATCAATAAATTTTCACCCCTAGAATTTCTAGTAGATTTTGTACTTTTTCAATGTTTAAAAGATTAAAAAATTAAAAATTGAGACAATAGACACAAATAATATTTACCCAATTTTGAATTCTTTTCCATCAGTGACTGCAATTCTTCAGCTAAATCGGATTTCTCTTCTTTTTCTAACTCCAAGTCCTGTCGTAATTTAACAATTTCCTTATCTTTCTCTCGAAGTTTAAACTTTTTTGAGGCCGGAGTCTGTAGTACATCTTGGAGCGGGCTCTCTGTTGCACAGCTTAAAATGCTCAAATCCAAATATGAAGTCTGTTTTTTTACCTCAGCAAAAATATTTAGGATAACTTTCTCTAAGGTCTCATTCGTAATGTTGTTGTCCATTTTTTCCAAAAAACTTTTTATCAAAATTTGAGTTGCCGGGTGTAGATTGTAACATAGTGGAGAAGTAAGTACATTCCTCCTGTCATGTATACACGTATAATGCATGAGGAGTGATGTTATTTTTAGGAGATCATCGCGTGATAGGTCGCTGACGTGAATACTTGGCTGGTTCTTCACTTCAAAATTTTTATAATGTTGTCCGATCAGCCAAAGAATAAATGTTAGTTCGTCTGGAACATCTGGTGATTTTTTACTGTCGAACAAAAATAGGTATTATTGTTTTGTTAACTAAACTAATCAATCAACAAATTAAATCAAGTTGATGGTTTTACCTGGACGATAGTTAAGGATCATATTAGTTAATACTGTTCCCACGACGTTTAATAGTATAATAAGCAACAAGTTTTATAAATATCACTTTACTCACGAATTTGATTTAGCACAAGTGGAGAGCAGCAGAACGAGAATTGTTGAAATTTAAAATCGAATGTTTTGTGTTGATAACCGATATTACCATAAAAGACAATAAATAAATTCAATTTTACCTTTCACTGAACTTAACTTCGTAAACTATCAACATTGCAAATCAGAATTTGATCTGTAGTATATCCAACTAATATAACACTATCAATTTTTATTTTCGTGAAAATTTTTGTTATTTTGGAATATACAAACCTAAGGTTTGAGACAACTTAATCTTTCATTCTTTGGCTTAGATAAGCTCTGTATTGAGGATATAATAAACCCAATTTTCAAGAACCGGTAAGAGCAAAACAAATTTAGATAGATCTTTAAAAAATATTTGAACCCTACCGCACCCTACGCGATTAAATTAGTCCACCTTTTAACCAGGAGTATAAACAACAAACAACTAAATAACTCACATTATTTTATGGAGGTTCTTGAAGAAATCGCCATCATGAAGATCCATTAAATTCCGTATTGGTTTACACAATTTTAAACAGTTCACCTAAAAAGTTGATTTTTATAAAACATGGTTTAAAATGGATATAATATACATAACTGATCATTATCTATTATTTCAGAACTTACCCATTCTATCAAAACAGTTTCCCAGTTACGATTTTCCATTGCTTTGCATTATATTGCTTAATATAGAATCTTTTAAAATCTATGACGTTGAAATGTGACCTGCTTATTTCAAATAAACTTCGCTTACGAGTTTTAATACAATAATAGAACTCGCTTGTTATGCTTAGTTTTTAAATCAACGCTTTTGTCTTTTAAATGTGTGGAAAAAATAACCGTCAACCGGTAAAAGCAAAGAACATCTTCTTTTCACGTATCTCGTTGGGCAAGATTGCGAAGGTCACTCGCCCGTATTCCTAACGTTTGGTCCTACCGAATAATAATAACCGGGATGAGGGACATATTAAAAAAAAATCCCTTAAATTGTCACCTGTTCCTTATATTTTAGATATTTCCTAGCTATGTGCGTGTATACTTTGGATTAATTAATACTTACAAGCGATAAGTATTAAAAACAACATCAAAGAAGCAGCAAAGGAAGCTTTAAGAACTCGAAAAATAACACAACATAAAGCCATCCTCGGTGCCTACCAAAGAAATTAAAGAACAGTGCAAAAAGATAAAACAAGCATACCTAGAACACAAACCACAGATTTTTGAGTAATGTCCACAATTATAGTAAGTGGCTACAAGATCTTAGCAAACGTGACCAATAGAAGGAAATAAGAAGAAACCACAGAATGGGGACCGGTGATAAGTTCAAATAGGGATGTTCCGATGCCTTTAAAGTATCGATACCTAGTCATTTCGATAGTACTCGAATCTTTTTTCGATACTACTCAAATAAATACTCCTAAAGTATCAATACTTACTCATATCGACACTTTTAGCACTTTATTATTTTTTATTTACTTTAAGGAAACTAACAATGAACGTTGAAGGAAAATAATTAAAACAAAACTAAGAAGGAAAAAAAAGCTTTTATTATAAAGGTTTGCGTCACGTTAAGCTCGTATTTTAAACAAAAAACTCCATGATAACATTGGAATAATAAGCCGATGATTACAATAAATAAGAGTTCGGCTTGGCTGGCGCGAGACAACGCGTCACCATAGATCAGATAGAGATGTTTGTCTGATGCGTTCGGTTTTTTTTTAATGGTGAGGCTGATTCGATTTGATACCAAGTACTTTTGTTTCGATACCGAGAAAGTATCGCAAAATTGATTCGATGCTATAAATACTTGCTATGGAATCAAAAGTATCGAGTACCTACTCGTATTTACTAGTATCGGAATATCCCTAAGTTCAAACTTTGTTGTTGTAAGCGGGCCGAATTGCTTTGCGAAGCGGTGGCCAAATAAAGCTTAACTAAAAAAAAAAAACAGAATTGTACGAAAAATATTAAAAAAAAAAACGGAACGAAACTATTTCTCTTGTAAGAAAGACCAAAAACACACATTGGGAAACTCTTAAAAAGAGTGGAAAGTGATTACTATGGACTGGAAAAACTGATATGGAGGCTAATTAGAAATCAAAGGAATGAAACGAGTGAGCTTGTTAGCACAAGTCTTATACCAAAAGAAACCTGGTTAGAATATTTAAAAAAGCTAAATCACAAAGAAAATGATAAAAACGAAGAATTATAGAAGTAGGGGACGTAGAAATTGCACTTCAAAACCTAAAAAACAGAAAGATGATATAACCAATGAACTACTCAAATAGGATGGAATAAAACTTACACAATTGCAAACTTTTATAAAGAAAATCATGTGTCATCATAAAATAGCAGATGAATAGAGTGTTAGCACAACAATTTTACACACAAAAAAATTTCATCAAACTAGAGTGAGGCGTCAACAGGACACTCGAAACATTGAAGCGACAGCCTTCCGCTACCACATAATTAGAACCAGGCAAGGAGACCGTGAATGAAATAGGCTTACGCTTAATAAAAATAAAAAGAAGAAGAAGCGACTAGTTTAGATAATCTTACTTTGATTATTTGAATTTGACTATAGATTGATTTACTGTTTTCAAAAACGGGGAGGATTTGCAGTTATTTTAAGCTTATTTGTGGAGATTTTCGTTGGTTGCACCCATATAGCGACTAGACATCTACAGGCCCTGCCTATGCTAATAGTATAGGATCTCATGAAGCAAATATGGAACATTATGAGATCTGTTCAATATGCGCATGCGCAAGATTTGAAAGTTTGTTTTTAACCAATGGTAGTTGTAATTGCAAATGTTTGGATGCTGCATTTTTACGGCAGTTTTTTCTCAAAAATATGTCGAAATCCAATTAAATTTTCAGGCAAAAAAGAATTAAGCTGTGGAAAGCGTTATTAAAAAATTAGCCACAAGTGCAGGGTTTATTATTCGGAATTCTGTAAATAATTTGGCCTTTTGGTTCTTTAAGCGCTATTGACACGGTAGAAGCTAATTTTTCCCGAATTTGTATCCGTATATCGCACAAACAGTTTGTTTTTATAAACTTATAGGTATAACCTCTTAAAAATGTAAATAAAGTCGAATTCATGACATGCGACTCATAAAAGCGTAAATATAACTGAGGTACTAGATATCGCACTGGAAACATCTAAGTGGAAAAAATGTTCAGCAAGCACCTCTTATAAACAGAACGCGCATTCTTTAAGTCTAGTATTGCAGAAAGTTTCGTCTCCCAAATATATAATTACGATAAGTACCAATGGAAAATTTCCTTAAAAAACTAGGTATTGCACAATATAACCAAGAATATTAAAAACTAGTATAAAAAAGTCAATAAACAATTAGTTCTAAACGTAATAGAATTACATATATTTGATTTTATTCAGCACTTCAAACCAACATATTCATTTCTTTCATTTCTAGTTTGGCATTATTGATTTTTCTTTAACACCTACAAGTTATATATGCGTAGTAAAAACATTTTTTCAAGTTTATCCATTCAACACTAACAAACGCTAAAGTGTCGTTTATTGTCTCAAAATTTAAAAAGCATTTTGCTTTTAAAAATTGCATTGTGTCTACCGAGCTTAAGATATTAGTATCAATTTACCCAGTATTTTAGCTATATTTTATTGCAATCTGGTTTCAAATGTAGATGACTAAAAATTGCTTTTGCAGAAATGCTCCGAATGTTTTAAAAGTGTAAGCTCACAGGAAACATTGAAAATTGTCTTAGGAAATATTTTTTCAAGATTGTGGTTAATGCCACACCTAAGACTTTCCTTTAATTATAATAGCATTTTTTATAGTGTTTTATTAACTCGTATTGAAGTTCACAGAAGATATAGTTGGAGAATGAACACAATGTAAAAATATAAATGAACAAATACATGAATTATTTAATAAGGCGTTTATTGAAAAGAATAAAGTGCATTCCTGCTGCACTTTTTAATAGCATAATATTTTAATTTTTTATTTGCCAAATGACGTCAGACAAGAAGCTTCAGTGCCACTCTGTTCAAGGAACTTTTATATTACTTGATTTGAGAGGATCTCCACCTTTAAAAGTTGCAAAAAAAAAGAAGATGTAAGCAATAAAAAAAATGTTCATTTATTATTTTGTTATTACATTAAACTATTAATAATTATTAGTAGAATGACTAAAGCAAAATTTCATTAACTGTAAATTTGAAACAAATTTTAAATCAGAACTACTTTATTTGTTGACGATATGTTACTGTGCATTAAGTTCTTTTTAAAAACTGATGACCGCTGGTTATTCGGTTCCAGGTTTCTCTATAACTTGTAATGTTACAAAATTCACCTTTTGGTAAACTAAAAAATAAAATGCAAATTGAATGACACTACATGGAGATGTGCTTATTATATCAAAACTAGGAAATAGACAAATATGCAAGTCTACAAAAAAAATGAGATATGGGAACATCAGTCTCGTAAGTTGTCCAAAACTTGTTGTACTGAAAAGGTATTCACACAAGGAAGGCAGGTGATACTTATGAATCAAGGAGATAGCTTACTCTCGAGTCAAGCAAGGGTTGGGAAAATAGTACTTGTCCCGAATACAACAAGCAGATTTACAAAATTTATTGATAGAACTATTTCTATTTGATCAGTGTCAAATTGTGTGTGTACATACTGCAGTATTCACTTACCTCCCTAAGGAGGTAGGTGAGCTACAAATAAAGTACCCCAAAATTTTGAATAGTTGCGTAGAATTCCTGGTAATTCTCAAAAATTGCCTGTAATGCCTTCAGAATTCCCAAAAATATCCTGCAGATTTATCACTTAAATTCTTCCTGTTGCAGTGGCAGCTGAACTTATTCTCTATTTCACTAAGGGTGATGACAAACGAAAACTTTCCCACAGTGAGGTTTAGAAAGATTTTTAATTGTCAACGAGTATTTCTTGTGATTGTTCTAGTAAAACTTGCAGGTTAATTGTTTTCTTATATTTCCTGCAATTCTTGTACACTAAAACATATTACCCAAACATATTTCCTATGTAACTATTTAAGCGTACCTTGCAGTTTCTTAAATCACTCGGGTTTGTCTAAGATCCTATTACCCGTATATACGCACATTCTTTTCCTTATAGTTTTGACCATAAACAGAAGTTTTTTTACAAAAACAAGAAAAAGGTACGGACACAATCATAACCATCAAAAATGTAAACAACAATGGCACAGTATTTTCTGGTAATAGCAATTCCTAATTCGGCGTTGCCAATTATATTCGGATTTCAGAGACTAATTTTGCGTTCTTATGAAAATTAGTCCATTTTTTCAGAAAAGTTACGGCTATGTGGCAACTCAGGTACACCTTATCTAGGAGAATATCACAGCCACCTGCGGCGTATCACTTTTTACAGTAGTAGGGCCACTATATTATCTTCTAGGTATATGGTTGCACCTATATAGATATTAGATAATATAGTGGTCCTACTATGATAACAATTGGTGCACAGCAGGCGTCCAAAAAAGTGATGATAATCTACAATTTACGCCATTTTCTTTCTAAATAGTGATTTTCCCAGACTTAGCTGTTGTAGGAAATAGTCAATTCGGGATATTCAAAAAAGTCCGAAACTCAACAATATATTGACACTACAAAACGCAACATAAAAAAAGATGAATCCAAAAGTACAAAGTAACCACGCGTCTCTTATTCGGACATAACCTCCTTCTTAACTAGACCCTAGTCTACATTCG